GGGCCGGCACTGACACATACAGCCCAGCACACTGAGTCCTCAGACGGCGCTGGCTTTGTCACTGTCCCGGGCTCAGAAAAGCCTCCCAAGTCACGGCTGCTCTCAGCTGTGTTACAGGAATTAAGGGAGGCCCACGCCAACATTTGGGCCAAGCCACACTAGGGGAGCAGCAGCAGCTAGGACGTCAACGTGACGGGCGACCGCGGATCCCGGGGCGGCAGGGGCACCAGGGCTTGGCGCACAAGGACACCGGACACCTCCCTCACCATGGGGACAGGAAGCAGGGCAGCACCTGACCACCCCTTCCCCACCCCGGATGAGAGCTGGCTCACCGGGTGCGAGAAGCTGGCGGTGGCCTTCGCGCACCTGCTTTTCGCGAGCCCTCCCTGCCCCATGCAGGATGATGGCAGCGGTGGGGACTCAGACACTTTGAGAGATGCCCTAGGGGAGCCCGCGGTCCCCTCTGCTCGGCAGCTGCATCTCCAGCCCGTCTTGCACCCCCTGATCTGCATCATCTCTCCCTGGAAGCTGCAAGGAAGCCCCCAGGAGCAGACCCTCCAAACCTGCTCGCTGTGGGCACAGGGCAGCGGCCACTTACCCAGAACCACGCTGCCAGCCTGGGCTCCCAGGGACGCCCTCCTCTCCGCCTCGGCTCCGCCCAGGCCCTCGGCGGGGCAGTCCTCGCCGGCCTCAGGTCCCCCTGCTCCTGGGCCTTTGTCCGGGTGCGGGCCCAGGGCCCCAGCGTCATCTCCCGTGTCCGTCCTGGCCTCGCTGGGTCCCGTGGCGGGATCGGCCGCAGGACCATGCTTCTCCTTGGCCTTTGCGCCCGCATCGCCGCTCTGCTCACTCAGTGGGGAGGTCTCGCTGGCTCCTTTTGGGATCTGTTTTCCCGACTCATTCCCAGGGGTCTGGGGGCAGCACTTAGGCCCAGGCAGGTCTTGCTCATCTGGCTGGGCAGCTGCTGGAGCCTCTCCAGGGGGCATGGGCGTGAGGCTATCCTCTTGTGTCACAAGCAGCTCCCCAGGTGCACCTGTCTCCTGCACGCGGATGGAGATCCTGAGGCAGAGAGAAATATGACCCTGAGCTTAGAAGCAAAGTCTCTGGAGTCAGAACAGACTGGGTTCTAACACCTGCTACTGCCACTCGGCCCGTGGCCTCTGGGCTTCGCTTTTCTCATCTGCAGAAAGGGTCAGCTTATGGTTGGAACCAGCAGACTCCAACCCCTGCCCCTCTGGCTCCCTGCGCCCCTCTGCCCAGACAGGACAGCAGGAGAGAAGTGGCCTCAGTGACCGGCGGGGCCACCAGCTCTGCGGATTCCCCAGGGGCCTGGGGAACTGCTTCCGCGCCAGGAGGCCTGTCCCCCGAGCCTCAGTTTCCCTCTCACTTAAATAGAGAGGAGAGCGAACCAAGCCCAGCAGCACAGCGCAAACCTCAGGTCAGGCATGTTTTATTAAAATTGGGCATCGCTCATCAGTCTGGACTCTGCTTCTCTCTGGCTGTGGGGGCCCGCCTAGCCCAGTGGCCGCTGTCTGCCCCCCACACATCCCGCTGCGCCCCAGGCTCTGGGACCCAGCTGGGGTCGGGAAGGACCTTGACCCCGGGGACTGTGACCCCCAGGGATTCAGACCCTCCCTCTCAGAGCTGCCCCTGCTCTGACCGGCCCTCACGCCCTGCTGCCCGGGCCTGTGCGTGTGGGGCGGGGGCAGGGGGTGAGTGTCTGGCATGGACTGAGTCCCAGGAGGGAGCCTGGAGCCCTCTGTCCCAGTCTCGGCTCTGCCACCGGGTTCCCTCCTCTGGCAGACAGAGGGAAATACCTCGCATGCGCTGAGGAAGTCACAAAGACAAGGGAGCACGTGGGGCCTGACGTGGTACGGCCGCTGCGGAAAACAGCACGGCCTCCCGCAGAACTCTAAAGATAGAACCAACACGTGATCCGGCCACCCCGCTCCCGGGAACAGAGCCAACGGAGCCAAAGGCAGGGTCTCCGAGGGACACGTGCACACCACATTCACGGCAGCATCATTCACAAAGCCACAGGGTGGAAGCAGCCTCGTGTCCACTGACAGGTGACGGTCCCTCCACAGTGGACTGTCAGTCAGCCCCAAAACGGAAGGCGATCCTGGCACCTGCTACACCACGGTCGAACCCCGGGACACTATGCCGAGCGAAACGAGCCAGTCACAAATAGACACGCGCTGTGTGGTTCCGCTTACACAGAGCTCGTGGACCGAACTCCGAGGCAGAAAGGAGAATGGTGGGGGCCGGGGCGGGGCGGGGCGCGTGCGGTTGTTCAATGGGTACAGTGTCAAATCTGTGAGATGAAAAAGTTCTGAAGGTCTGTGTCCCAACGATGTGAATGTACTTAACGCTGATAAACTATACACTTAAAAACGGGTAAGATGGTAAATTTTATGTTATGTTTTTTACCAAAAAAAAAAAAAAAAGTGAAGCCTTTCCCCAGCAGCCGAACGCCCAGCTCCTTCTCTGAGCTGCTGCAGGACCCCTGACGGCGGTCCCTGTCCCTGGGTGTCTGAAGGACCTGGCAGCCTGTCCATTGCCAAGCCTCGGGCAGGAGGCGGCAGACTCTTCCCAACACTCTGCCCCCCGGCACTGAGTGCATTGGTGATGACAGGGAAGGCTGGGATGGGCGGCACCCAAGTTTAGCTCAGGCCTTGTCTTGACTAAGGGACACAGGAAACTGCAGGAAGCCAGTAGCTCAAAGACCATGCAGGTGGCCAGCTGACAAGGCCAATGCTCTCTGCTGTCCCTTTCGTCATCACTCCTAGGAGGCCAGGCGATGACCCTCTGGCACCGCCATGCATGCAGCTCCTTGCCACTGTGAGTTTGCATGGCTCTCCCGCCTCCTGCTGGCACGATCAGCCGATACTACTAATCAGGGACAGTGCTCCACACCCCCACGTCCAGATCAGGCCTCAGGAGCCCCCAGACAGGCAGCCGCTGCCACCAGAGCTGACGCGTGAGTTGCAGCCTCTGTTCCTCAAAGTACACCCATGTCACAAAGGCAGGCACTGGCCTTCCCGTTCCCGAAGCTGCGGCAGGCCCGGTGTGCCTGAAATCCAGCACGGGCTCAAACTGACGTGGAGGCCTCAGCAGCCGAACACCCAGCCCCTCACTCGGAATCTCCTGGGGGCCACTTACACGTTCGTGGAAATCCCCGCATCCCGATTCCACACTCAGAACCCGGCCAGGATGCGGGGTGCCTGCCAGGAACCCTTCCCTCTGGCTGGTTAGGTCTCCTGGGGGGGGAGGGGGGGTCCTGCTTCCTTCCAAATGATCTGGGCTTCTCTGCCAGTCGCCACAGCACACAGACACCAGGTCCCCTGCCCACCAGGTCCCCTCCCGGAGCCAGGCCTCAGAGGGAGGGCTCAGTCCCAGGTCAGAGCAGCCCAAGGCAGGCGCGAGAGGACCCCAGCCCGGGAGAGAAGCCGGAGGAGCCCTGGGCACCACCCAGGATGCACCGCCCCTGGGGCTGGAGGAGCTCGGGAACCAGCAGGTTCTGGCTCCTCATTCTCCAGCACCCCATCTGCTGAGGGCTGGTCCTGAGACCGCGTCCTGAGGGTCAAGTTACCCCCAAGACCAGACAGACCAGTGCCTGGGCCTCACTCCAGACTGAATAAGCCAGAATCTCCGGGCATCCGTATTTAAGACATCCTCCCAGGTGATTCTCACAGGCGCCACGTGAGAACCAGCATTCTATGTTCCCGGAAGCAGGGTCTAGGCCTTCTGTGGTCCCTTCATGAGGACGGCCCTGTGCTGTGCACACAGGGCCACACGACTGTGCGGCTGGGCCATCAACCACGCCGCGGCTGGGGGCTCGCTCACCGCCCCCTGGCCCAGCTTGCACCTACCTCGAATGCACCTCGCTGGCACCCTGAGCTGCCTTGGCCTGGGCTAGCGGCCCTGGTGTCAGCTCCGTGGCCTCCTCTGAGGGCCGAGGGTCAGGCCCGCCGGATGGTGCGCCTTGTCCCTCACCCGGTGCAGCCTCCTGGCTGGGGGGGACCTCACAGACCCCGCTGGGTGCCGCCGGCAGTTCCAGGCCAGTCTCGGGGTTCTCGCCAGATGCCCCAGCAGCTTCGGCTTCTGCCACTCTGGGTGGCAGCAGGTGGCCAGGGGATACCTGGTCTGGGCCAGGAACTCCATCCTCCTGGCCTGGCAAGGCCTCCGTCTGGGTGAGGGTGTCAGATCCCATCCCCGAAGCACGGGCGGGGGACAGCCTCTCCACTGTTCCCTCCGGGTCGGCCTTCTGGCTCTCTGCGGGAAAACAGGCGAGATGAACACGCACTGCCACGTGGAGGGGTCTATCCCAAAGACACGACAAAGGACAGGCACAGAGCCATTCGACGTGGCACGTCTGCAACAGGCAGAGTTAAAACAGCCACCCCAGCTGTTACCGGTAGGGGGCTGGTTTTCACGGCACAGCTACCTGGCCGGCTCTGTGCAAGAGGACAGAAACCTCCATGGCAGCTGTGGGGTGACCTCGAGGTACACCGGAAGTTAGAAGACGCAGGAGGGAGAAGGGTGTGCGCTGAGCTGTTCAAGCTAGGACGTGTGCGTGCGCTCGCACACGCGTGCACGTGTGCAACCACTTACAACGTGGTCTGAAGACACTGGACCCCGAAAGACAAGGCAAAAACTTGGTTTCATACGGCGGGAGGGAACAGGACACAGGAACAAGGGCGGATGCTCGACAATGTATCTCATTGTGGCTTTGGAATTATGTAGATACTATGCAAGCTTATAAAAAAAATTAAACTTTTTTCAAAAAGGTATCCATAAAAATGTCAACAAAGTGAAAAAATATCTAAGTATCGAGTTGGTGGCACAGGCTACACAGAGGGGAACTATTCCAAGTGACTTTAAAGCAGCAGCTGACGGTTCCTCTCTGGTGGGATGGACACACATAAAGGACAAAAAGAATTGGGGTGGGGGGGGCTTCAGCATATTTTCAGTGATCACTCTGCTGGTGGTGCTGGTGGCGTTTTCGTTCTGAGCCCAGTAGGGGTGCGACGTCGGATGAAGCGAACGGGGCGCACTCACCTGCCCCGGGCCCCCCGGCTCTGCTGCTCCGCGCCCACTTGGGGCTCGCTCCCTCGC